CATGGCCGCGTCCACCCTGTCCGTCTGCTCCAGCGACCTGAGCTATGGCAGCCGCGTCTGCCTGCCCGGGGCCTCGGACTCCTGCCCCGACCCCTCCTGGCAGGTGGACGACTGCCCAGAGAGCTGCTGCGAGCCCCCGTGCTGTGCCCCGGCCCCCTGCCTGACCCTCCTGTGCGGCCCCTCCTCCCCCTGCCAGGGAGACTGCTGCACCCCTGCGTGCTGCAAGCCCGTCTGCTGCACCCCTGTGTGCTGCAAGCCCGTCTGCTGCACCCCTGTCTGCTGTGAGGACTCCCCCTGCACAACCTCTTCATGCTGCCAGCTGTCCTGCGGCCCCTCCTCCCCCTGCCAGGGAGACTGCTGCACCCCTGCGTGCTGCAAGCCCGTCTGCTGCACCCCTGCGTGCTGCAAGCCCGTCTGCTGCACCCCTGTCTGCTGCAAGCCCGTGTGCTGCACCCCTGTCTGCTGCCAGGACTCCCCCTGCACAACCTCTTCATGCTGCCAGCTGTCCTGCGGCCCCTCCTCCCCCTGCCAGGGAGACTGCTGCACCCCTGCGTGCTGTAAGCCCGTCTGCTGCACTCCTGTTTGCTGCAAGCCCGACTGCTGCACCCCTGTCTGCTACAAGCCCGTGTGCTGCACCCCTGTCTGCTGCCAAGACTCCCCCTGCACAACCTCTTCATGCTGCCAGCTGTCCTGCGGCCCCTCCTTCCCCTGCCAGGGAGACTGCTGCACCCCTGAGTGCTGCAAGCCCGTCTGCTGCACCCCTGTGTGCTGCAAGCCCGTCTGCTGCACCCCTGTTTGCTGTGAGGACTCCCCCTGCTCAGCCCCCTCCTGCTGCCAGCCCAGCCCCTGCTGCAGACCCTCCTCCTGCGTGTCCCTGCTCTGCCGCCCCGTGTGCCCCCGCCCTGCCTGCTGCGTGCTCGCCTCGGGCCAGTCCTGCTGCTGATGGGCACGTCCCCCCACTGCTACTAGGACTCCCACCCAAAGTATTCGGAGCCTCGAGCCCAGTCTGGGGTCTCCTTCTGCCCCCAGGTGCCCACCGCAGCAGACAAGGCTGAGCCCTCACTGTCGGGCTGGCCCCCTGGGGCAGCTGCAGCTTCCCGAGGGCCCTGTGTGTCACCCGGTGTCCTCCTCTCTATCATAGCCGGATTGAGGTCACTTTGTCCTGTCCTACGTGAGCGACCTATCTGTTAACCAATAAAGTCACCGTCAGCCCCTCCGAAGGCCTCGAATGCGCGTCTCGGCCAGCAGGGAAGGGCTGCGATGTTGCACGCGGGCGGGGCTGCTCTGAGAGGCCTGGAGCCGCGTCTGTCACAACAGCACCGGCAGGCAGGGGGCCACCTGCACCCCCTGCTGGGCCTCCTGCGCTGGCTGTCCCCCGGCAGCCCCACAAGCCGGCCCACCTGGGAGGCCCCTAGAGCCCTTCACCAGTGAGGGACGGAGGGCCATCTGTCGGGCCCTGAGCCTTTGCCAAGGACAAAGGAGGCCCGGTTAATAGAGCTTCCGCCTTGGGGGCATGCATGGTGCCAGCCACTCTCCGGTGGCCCTCGGCACAGGGGCGAGCGCGTCCCTCTGTGTGAAGACGCCAGGAGCATGAGTGCTGTGCGCGGTGATGACGGGAGCCCGTGTCGGTCAGGATTCTCCAGAGACACAGCCAATAGGATGTGTGCGTAAACATGCGGCGGTTTTGAGGCATAGGTTCACGTGAGTGAGGGGCCGGCAAGTCCAAAATCTGCAGGGCAGGCTTCCCAGGGATGAGCTGATGTTGGAGCTTGAGCCCAGAGATGGTCTGCTGATAGACTCCGGCTACCTCTTGGGGGACCTCTGTCTGTGCTCCGAGTCCTTCAACTGATTGGGTGAGGCCCACCCACCATATGACAGATAATCTGCTTCACTCAGAGCCGACCGATGTAAATAGCAGTCTGGGCCTTCACGGCAATGTTTGTATGTGTTTGACCAAACAACTGAGCATGATGGCCTGGCCAAGATGACACATAAAATTAACCATCTCCCCGGACCAACAGCCCAGGGTCTGGCGTACTGAAAATCGTGGGTCTCATTGGGCTGTCCCCTCAGGATTTCAAGTGTTCAGGCAGGTCGCCTTGTTGGAAGAAACGGGGAGGAGGGATTCCCACCGGCCCTACAGGCACGGTGCCCAGCAGGCACGTGCCCTGGGCCACGGATGATCCCCAGTGAGGAAGGGCCACGTCTGGGAGGCCTCACAAGCCCTCGGGCCACATTGGAGGGAGACCATGCCTGGCAACATTGTGATGTACCAACGGGCGGTCAGAAGGAAGCAGGTGTCCCTTGGGGAGCGTTTCCTGGCACAAAACATTGTGACTCCTGGATGGCTGGCCGGCCAGTCACCCAGGATCCCTGTGGATGCCAACATGCCCCCCAACTGTGGTGCAGGGCGTGTCCTGTCCCTCGTCCCCGGTCCCCAAGTCGCTCGGTGAACAGCCACACCCACCCACCCAGCAGCCTGGCCTCGCCCTGGGCGCCGCCCCTCCCCTCCTCTGCCCCATCTCACCGAGCTTCAGCTTCTGGCCCCCACCCCACCCTCCCTGCCAGGACGGCCCAGGCGCCCGGCCCCGTCCTGCTTCTCCCTGAAGACCCTTCCTCCCCTTTTTCCTCTGTCCTCCCCGGCGGGCGCCTGCCGTTGACTTGTGGTCCCTTCGACCCCCAGAACCGCTCACTCCCGAGTCCCAGTCGGCCAGACTGGCACGTGCCCTGGGGACCGAAGCGACTCTGGGTTCTGCTAAGTGCTGCGGATCAGAGCAGGGGTGCTTCCCTGGGCTCTGACCCGGGATGAGAAGAGAGGAATGGCATCTTTAGTCTCACCAACCTGTACCCGAAATCCAGCGCTTCGAGTGGTTGTGAACAGCCAGCAGCCCCGAGTGGATCAGCAGGGCCCGAGCCTTCGCGGCCGCGGACGTCAGGTGTGCGGGCCTCACGGGGACAGCTGGCCCCACACTCACGGATGGCCGAGCGGCCGGCACCCACCCCGCAGGACATCACGTGGGGCTCACTGGAGGAGTGTGCTAAACCACTCGCTTGTTTTCAAGTTTCAGCGTGCCTTCCTGTAATCGGTGCCCTTTGATTTCCGTCAGGTTTTTTCTTTCTTCATTTAGAACCAGCTGAAGCCTTCTCAAGCTGGCGGGGAGCGGGGGCAGGCACAGGAAGGGTCGGGGCGCCCGGCACCCTCTGGCCGTGAGCAGCTCTCTGTCTGTGGCTCTGGCCACCAGCAGGATGGTGGTCAGCCAGCCCCGCTCGCCCACGGGTTTCCGGAGGTGAGGCACAGCCCCCGTGACGCCCCGACTCTCAGGAAGGGTTGTGTGTGTCCCTGTTGTTTCTGGACCCTTAACTCTCGAGGGGCCCTTCCCTGTCAGCCACGGGGTCTTTTCATTTGTCCCTCGTGGTTTTCACGGCGGGTGTGTACAAACCTGACCGGAGAGTCGGAGGGCCCCCGAGGGAGGGCGGGCGGCAGGGCGAGCTGCCCAGTGAGCCCCCGACGTGCAGCAGGCGGGCGGTCCCCACTCCGGGTCAGCGGCACCTCAGCGGGAGGCCGGAGGCAGCTGAGTGCGCCACATGGCCAAGCACTCCTCAAGGCCCTGTTGGCTCCTTGGGTCGTGATGGTACCACCATCTTTCTGGGTTTAGATGTGACGAACCGTTTCAAGAGTTTTGTTGTCTAATAAAAAATAGTAGATGAAATGTACTTTGGGTGTTTTTTTTTAGTTTATTTATCTTAGAGAGAGAGAGAGAGAGAGAGAGAGAACATGAGTGGGGGAAGGGCAGAGAAAGGCAGAGAGAGAGAGAGAGAGAGAATCCCAAGCAGATTCTGAGCTGTCACCGCAGAGCCCGACTCGGGGCTCAAACCCACAACCCGTGAGCTCATGACCTGAACCGAAGTTGAGAGTTGGACGCTTAACTGACTGAGCCCCCCAGGCGCCCTGCCCTGAAAGATGAGATGTCCTTTGAAACCAGCGGCTGAGCCCTGCCTGCTGTCATTTTATTTTTGTTTCTGCTGCTTCTTGTCTTTAAAATACCCACCATGGATGTTTTTCTTCTACTTTCCCTGCTGTCTTGAAAGACACACATCCTGTTTTCAGTCACACTCGGGAATGTCTAAGTCTCCCTTCATATTTGTGTTTCAACTGGTCAAGTCACGAATCAGTGATACGGCGTTGAGAAATTCCTCCTTGAGACGGAATTGGGTGTTTCTCCCACCATCTGGCCGCGCCCCACGCCTTTCAGTTTTCTGGGATCATCTGAAGGGGCCACCGTCTGACAGAAACATGGTACGAGCCACATTACAGCCATCCCAGCAGCCGCATTTAAAAGTGAAAAAGAGGGGGCGCAGTCGGTTAAGCGTCCGACTTCGGCTCAGGTCATGTCCTCACGGTTCGTGAGTTCAAGCCCCGCGTCGGGCTGTGTGCTGACAGCTCGGAGCCTGGAGCCTGCTTCCGATTCTGTGTCTCCCTCTCTCTCTGCTCCTCCCCTGTTCATGCTCTGTCTCTCCGTGTCTCAAAATAAACATTAAAAAAAATAAACTTGTAAAAACTCAGCAATATGTGTGCAGGGTTGACTCAAAGTGCGTGATGCTCTTGAAACCCACAAGTTCTTCCAGCCCACACGCACACGTCTTGTCCATTCAGCTCTGGGCAGCACACCCTCTGTTACTTCTTTGACTGTTTTTTTTTTTTTTAACTTTTTTTTAATGTTTATTTATTTTTGAGAGACAGAGAGAGAGAGCATGAGCAGGAGAGGGGTGGAGAGAGGGCAGGGGGACACAGAATCCCAAGCAGGTTCCAGGCTCTGAGCTGTCAGCACAGAGCCTGACGCGGGGCTCAAACTCACAAGCCAAGAGATCATGACCTGACCTAAGTTGGACGCTTAACCGACTGAGCCACCCAGGCGCCCCCCAACCCTTTTTTAATTTCTTTGACTGTTGTTTTGATCTTAGCTGCTCCTCTCCCTCTCTGGCCACTGGGTTATCGCATTTGGTCTCAGCTGAACACCCCGTCCGTGCGTTACATGCTGTCTGACCACATCTGTGGGTATTTTCTTGTGTTTTGGGGGTACCACCAGCATTTGTCCTTCCGACTGCTGACATGATTGCTGTTTCCTGCCTCTGTTGTGAGTCTTTAATCCAGCTGCTTGGTGTTCAATTTCCTTGAACACTTGCTGTCTTCCACCATTTTATTAGGAATGAGGAAGTCCCGGTTAGAGCGTAGATCCCGTATGCGCTGGCTTCAGTCCCACTTCAGCCACGTTGGGCTGCGTGACCTTGAGTAGGTTGCTTAACCTCACTGTGCCCAGGCTCCCTCCTCTGTTCATTCGCAGTATGGAATGACGTGTCACTTAGTTGATGTGAAAATTAAGTGGGTTGCCAGATGTGAAATGCTCAGAGCCCCCACTGACTCAGAAAATGGTAGCTAACATCACCAACATCGCCATTAGTGCTATTTTGAGGGTCTTCTCCTAAGACGTTGAATTCCCGCCCCCCCCCATCACCTGCACACGATGACTTTCTGTTCTGGGTTCACTGGGACCATACCTTCTTGCATCCCACGTTGCCTGATGTCTTCTTTTGAGCGTTGCTGTGGATCCACGAGTGTCCATCACTCTCGCGCAGTCTTCAGGAGATGTGCTCTCTCTGTCCACACTGTGTGCTCTGGGGCATCGTCCTGGGGTGAGGGGGTGCTGTGCTCAGCCGTGGGCGTGGAGGGCACGGGCACCTGCTGAAGGCCACCTGTGCGTGAGTGAAATATCGATGGAAACTGAATGGCCAAGCAGCATACTGGTCCTGCATCTCAGCCCCTCCACGAACCCAGACCCGTCGTGGAGTTTCGCAGCGTCCCACTCTAGTTCCTTAATGCTCCTTGCAGAGAGAGAAGGAAGGGAGAGGCAAAGAAGGTACTGGTAGAGAAGCTGCCGATCGCTGACACGGACAATGAGAGGAGCAGCCTCACTGGAGGCCCCCCGGACCCCCCAGGAAGTGTGATAAGGGGACATCAAGCCACGTGACGTGCGTGGATTCGACAACCCCAGTGAAATGGACAAGAACGTATTTCTCCACTCAAGAGGAAATACATAACCCGAACAGCCCCGTTCTATTAAAGACATTGCACGTGTCCGTAAGAACCTTCCCGCAGCCCACCCGTCCTTCAGCAGGCAAACCGTAAAGCAGCACAGAACATCGGACCACAGAACCGTG